GACATGTACGATTGATTAAGTCCACTCTCATGATGTCACCGACCTCGTGTGTAGATTGATTGTAGGCATCCTCAACCTCAAACAATAACAGGTCACTATCATATATCCTCACACGATAAGTGCCAGCCAATTCATCATTTTTTTGCAACGCTGCCTCAACCTTCTTTGAAATTATCCAACCTTGTGAGATATCTTTTTCAATCCCTTCACGTCTCTTGACGAAATACTCAACGAGTCTACTGAATGTCATCTTGACCAATGCAGATATAGGCAGATTTCGTGCTCCACGAAGCACCTTATTCACACACTCAGATAGGTTAGTTGTCATATGACCAAACCTACGTCCTGTCTCATCATACGACCTGCACCATTGCTCATTCGGAATCGCATCCAACCATGAAGCAACTTCAGGATTGTTCTCGATAAATTCCTTGTACCTAATGTCGAAATTTATCTTTGAACATGTGTACCCTGCAAAAAACCATGACATATGCATTAGTTCTTCGATGACGATCGGATATTAGACAAATACCATGCCTGTGTGTGACATGAAAACGTAAAAGGCTAAGAAACCAGGACCAATCATCCAACCTCTCACCTGGAGGAACAACAACAAAGTCAATAGGGATGAGCTCAGAAAATATTTACAGTATGAAGTGGCAAAGAAGGGTCACATGCTTTCACATACCCCAAAGCAAAATTATTTACTCACCTGGAGGAACAACAGCAAAGGCAATAGGGAGCAGAAATCCATCTCCATCCTGAGATGTTGCAATCAATAGAGTACCTCTGTACTTCCCATACAGATGAGTGCCGTCAATTTGAATTATAGGCTTGCAGTGTTTGAATGCTTCAATGCATTGGTGAAATGTCCAAAAAACCCTTTGAAATACGGCCCTGTCTGTATAAACCCGACGTTCATCAAAACATTGATTTGTATCAAGTTTGAACACAGAACCCACATTCACCTCCGTCATATACTTTAGCCAATTTGGCAAGAATGCGTACGATTTCTCCCAGTCACCAAACAACTTAACGATGGCCTTCATTTTTGCCTTCCAGGCCTTCCTGTACGTTATGTTGTATCCATATGTTCCCTGTATCCTCTCCTGTATCAGAGCTGGTCTTGTGGATGGATCTTCCTTTAACATATCTGGAAAAAAAAAATTAACTTTACCATATTCTCAATTAATCTGAATCATTAAATAAACAGTAGAATACATACTCATTATAGCCGCACAAATGACATTTGAATCCAACTGTCTATGATCCTGTGCTAGGCCTTGATTTAGGCATGTGTGACCTTGACCCCATTTACGGACCACCCAGTTAGCTCCCTTCTTCGGCTTAATTGCCCTCATATACCAGGGACAACCGTCAGCATGGTTTTTACACTTCATAACAAATCTTGACTCGTCGCTTTTTTCAACTATGGCTGTCCTGCGCCCCTTCATACAATGTATCTTCACAGCATGTTGCAATTCTGGTTTGGACCCAAATTCTTGTTGCACAAATAACGGATCTCCTAACTTCCAACCTCCGTGCAAGTCATCATCGCCATATAGGATCTCCAACTCGTCATTAGGGTGCACCCAGTTAATGAATGAATAATGTTGGCTTTCATTCCAGAATGGCTCCTCAGACCCTGCATCTAAAGATCATGTCAAATTTAATAACTTACCACAAATAATAAATTGTCTAAAGCAAATATTCAAATTTAATAACTTACCACTACTGACTGGGTCGACATGAAGTGGTGACAAGGCTGGGGTACCGAGACTTACGGCGCTCATGTCAGCCTCAAAATTACCGTCCACATCAGTGTCTGACGAATCACCTTCTGGAATAGCACTTTCAGGTTCTCCCTCCTCTTCGCTGTCCACATAGTCCTCGTCTTCATCCTCTTCATCCTCATCCCATGCTACCTGAGGAGGTGCAGAAGATCGTACAACTGTATCTTCTTGACCGGTACAGTGTGCAGTAGTGGTTGTATGCACCGGTAAAGATGAAGATTGTCCAACATCAACTTCAACATATATCTCAATATATTTTAATACTTTCCATTCAACAAACGCATCTGTTACGAACTCCACATCTTCATCATCATTTATATCGTTTCCAATGTAGTATATTGTATCCATATCCACTACAGTCTCTAACCTGGCTATCATGCGGTGGATGGAATGTATGCCTTCTGACCCCATTTTTTGAAGAATTCTCTCCTTCAGTTCATTGCATGTAGTGCCCACTTTGATTTTCATCGTTTTTGTTTTTCCTTCAAATCGGACACCGTTCGGACCTTCAAAATGCCTCCCATTGTAGTAAACAACTATAGGAACCATGTTTGGACTTGAACTCATCTTTCACACAAAAATTAGATCTAGGTTTTGGGTTTGGAGGTTGGTTCAGATTTTTTAGCACAAAATGGGAGTGTGGAGATGTAATCTCAATGTCCCCCCAAGATTCAGCTTTCTGAAATGATGAGATGAAATATGTGTGATGTTTCGGATTAGAGAGGGTAAGAGAGAAAGATTTGGGGTTTCAAAAACCCTATACCTCGCAACAATGGCCGAAACCCATACATATTGGGGTTTCTGGACGCGATTTACCCGGGTACACTGCTACGTACCCGGGTAAATAATTCAAACATTTTCCCAGATTCAAGAACTCTACCCGGGTACACCCCTACATACTCGGGTAGATAAAAAGTTTCAAAATTTACCCGGGTAGGTAATGGTGTACCCGGGTAGGCTTCGTGGTCAACGGTCAAACAGGGGCAGATTGGTGTTATGTTTGTTGGGGAGGGTAAATTTTCGAAATAGTTTTGAATGAGGGGCAATTTGGTAATTAATTATTAATTAAGGGGCATAAGGGTCAAAAAGCCCTAATCTAGTGAATGACATCTCAAATCCAGTATTAACTTTGGTATTATGTTCTTAATTAAATTTTTCCCACAAAATCCAACAAACCTACAACCATATTACAATTTTAAGGACCCACCACTTTAACCTTTTATCTGTTTTCTATGTTTATTTTGTTTTCTTAATTTGATCAAAATTTCCCTTAAGTTGTTGGACCCTCTGCCTTAGGCTTCCCAGGAATGAAGAGAAAGGCCTTCAGTGACCATTGGAATTCATTAATCACTTTGCTTATGGAAACTTCAATTCTCATAGTTTGGAATTGATCAGGATCTCTTTTACCTGTGTAGCAGCGTTCGAGTTTCAGAACCATGCATATAGGTATGCAAATGCAATTATCCAAAGTTTTTTTTTTTTTTAATGTTTTTATGACTTTTTTAGGTGCCCTTTTTTAGTTTTTGATTCATTGGGAATCTTCTGATATTTTTTACCAAAAGTATGAGCTTTGGGTGGTTTCTGGGTTTTGTGAGGATTAGCGAGGGTGTTATACGTTTGAGAAATTCCTTAACAATTGTGTACCTTTTGCTATGTTGTTGTTGTTGAAGCTCTTTGTGAGTGATTTGTTGTGTTGGTTATTGAAAGATAACTGGTTGGTGGAAAAGCTAGGGAGAAGTTGTCTAGAAGAGGGAGTGATTTGGAGCATGTTATTATTATTAATATATGATTGTAGAAGATGAAAATTCTGTTTGAAAGTTAGATTAGGATCATTTGAGTTTACGTTGTTATTGAATTAGGAGAATTTGTTGGAGTAGGCCTGTATCAGCTATTTCATTTGGCCTCACTTAGTGAATCATTGATAATCTCTTTCTAATTTTGTACTAGACCCCGTTTTACCTGCAAGTGAAATCCATTTGCCTTTCGTTTTTGTTTCAGTTGGTTTCATGCAAATCTATTACTCTTATTTAATTTAGCTGGACATTCAAAAATGTTTATGTATTTGAGTCTTTAGTTGCTGATATTTGTTTATGCATGGACACAAACATGTGGTACTATTACTCAATAATAAAGTCTAGTTACTTTTAATTGCTAATTGTTGTTGGAAAGTCAGAACTGAAAATGAATAAATAATAAAGGCTAAAATGCTAGGGATCCCCTTCAATTATAGGTCAATTGAAGAAAACTTTCATATGGTTCAAGACTTAGCAACTCTCCTTGAACTTACCAAACCGTGCATATTGGCTCCTTACAAGGGTTTGCTACACATGCACAAGGGTTAAATTTATACTACTCTACCTTGTTTGATAAGTTTAAGGAGCCAAGCTGCTGAGTTTTGAAACACAGGGAGTTTTTCTGCAGTTGACCTAGTGCTAGAGGGGGTTACCTGCATTTTAGCCACACAAAAAAAGGAGGCTATCTTAAAATTCAACTTGATTCCCTGGTACATATTACAAATGTTTCCTTTTTAATTTTTTAATCGTTTTTGTAATGTTAGTTTGTTATATGGTCTTATCAAAGCAGGTCAAACGGATACAACTTCTGTTAAATGTCTTATCAACAGCATCTCTCGATTCATTCATCTAGTTTCTTGCCAAATAGTGAAACCTATGCCCCTTCAGAAGAACATTAATAATATGGTTGGTGTGTTAAAGCATTTGAAACCCGTGCTTGATGATGTTGTGGATTACAAAATCCCTTTGGATGAAAATCTGTATAGAGAATGTGAAGAATTGGACATTCGGGTTAATAAAGCTAGGGAGTTCATTGAAAATTGGTACTCAAAGATGAGCAAGATTCATAGTGTAAGTAATTACTTAAGTCTTATACTCAAACTAACACCATTATTCAGTAACTGTTATTTCTTTTTGTTTAAGATCCTAAGACTCTTTGTTGGCATTTGAACAAGGTTGAAAGGAAAAAATGAACCACCAATACCTCCTCAATATCTCTTTCTTCTTTTGGAAAGGTTGATTGCAAACTCTTAACTGTTTTGTTGGGATTATTCTATTTTTAGGTTCTTCAAAGTGGGGAATTGTTGATTAAGTTACAGGGCGCTTCACTTAAGATTTGTCATATGATAGTTAGATTCCTAAAGTCACCTGCATCAGTTTCCGTTTTGGCTAATCTTCAGGTATGTCCATGGTTGGAAGTTACTTTTTTCCTGGTCATTATGCTCCTATCTGATGCCCCTCCCAAAGGAAAAGGAGGGGGGAAATTCAAATTACTGTGTTTGGCAGGAAAAGTTATTATCAGTTTTTTTGAGTGTCTTCTTGACCAATAAAATTATGAGACTAATTGCTAGCAACTTTTTCAGCACTATATACAGGAACTCCAGTGTCTTAAGAAAGAACAAGCAATGATCTATATAGAAGAAGCACTGAGAAATCAAAGGGATAATATTGAACCTTGCTATGAACATCTAAAGGAAATGATAGAGTTACTTGAATTTACATCAAACCAGGAGCTCCTGAAAGAAAGTATTGCTGTGGAAAAGGAAAGGTTGAATGCTGAAGGCGATAAAACCAAAGGGAACATGGATGAAATTAACCAAATTGTGAATCTTATGTGCAATTTACGTGATTATGTAATGAAAATTGAGTGCTCTGAAGTCAAAAGTAGTGTCTCAATCCCACCATACTTTCGATGTCCTTTATCATTGGAACTCATGTTGGATCCTGTTATTGTGGCTTCAGGTCAAACATATGAGAGGCAATCCATCCAAAAGTGGCTTGATCACGGTCTGACTGTTTGTCCCAAGACTCATCAAAGACTTACCCATACAAATCTCATTCCCAATTATACTGTTAAAGCTATGATAGCAAATTGGTGTGATGAAAATAATGTCAAACTTTCCATTAACTCGAAACACAGTAATTCTGCCCATATTTCGTCCCCGTCAGATTATTTATTGCATCATGATTTAGATCGTGTGTGTAGTTTTTCTTCTTTACATAGTAGCAATTCCAATTCAAGATCATCTTTTCAAACTGGAAATGCATTTGAGAAGAAAAAGGGTGATAACGCTTTCAGATTAAGTGGAGAATCCAATGGAAGCCAGAGTGGAGAGACAGAAAAGTTTGAGCAACAATCCCCTGCACCTTCATGTAGTTACAGCAGGAGTGAATCATTTTCAAGTTCTATTTCTAGTACTGATTATGTACTTCCAGTTTCAAAAGAGATGCCAGGGATATCTAATAAGCATCAAAATGTGGAGTTGTCTGGAGAAATTACTAATGGCTGTCCTGCTTCCCTTGCAAAAAAAGAACCAGGAATTTCTCCTTGGTTATCAGAAAAGCAACTTCAAAGCCCTGGATCAAAAATGGGACAGATGGAGATTGGAAATATGGATATTAAGAATAATAATATTATTATTACTAGCCATTCAAAAGTTGATTCCCATCCTGTTTCCAACTTAGGATCTGATGAACTGACCACCACATCTCATGTCAATAAGTTGATTGAAGACCTCCACAGTCAATCAAATGAAACACAGACTGCCGCTGCAGAAGAATTGAGGCTATGTACTAAGCATAATATGGAAAACCGTATCATTGTAGGGCAGTGTGGGGCTATCCGGCCTTTACTCTCACTGCTATATTCAGACATACAGATAACACAAGAACATGCTGTGACAGCTCTACTGAATTTGTCAATTAATGAAGCCAACAAGGCCTTGATTACGGAAGCAGGAGCCATAGAACCACTTATCCATGTTTTGCAGACAGGAAATGATGGTGCCAGGGAGAATTCGGCTGCAGCTCTATTCAGCCTCTCTGTAATAGATAACAATAAGGCAAAAATCGGCCGTTCTGGTGCAGTTAAAGCTTTGGTGGATCTTCTGGCCTCAGGAACTCTTAGGGGAAAGAAGGATGCTGCTACTGCTTTATTTAACCTATCAATATTTCATGAGAATAAAGCTCGTATAGTTCAAGCTGGAGCTGTGAAGTTTCTGGTTCTGCTATTGAACCCTGCTGATGGATTGGTTGACAAAGCTGTTGCTCTTTTGGCAAACCTGTCAACAATTGCAGAGGGTCGATTAGGAATTGCAAGGGAAGGGGGTATCCCGTTACTGGTTGAAATTGTTGAATCAGGTTCACAGAGGGGAAAGGAAAATGCTGCTTCAATTCTCTTGCAACTATGTCTTCATAGTCGTAAGTTTTGTACCCTCATTCTCCAAGAAGGGGCTGTACCTCCCCTAGTTGCATTATCTCAGTCTGGTACAACAAGAGCAAAGGAAAAGGTATGGAGCTAATCTTCTTTTGTCTTTGTCATCTATTTTGGCGGTTAAATTTTTGTTATGTTCATATACCTTCAGTTTACTCCATTTCAATTAGCTGTTATCCATCTCTAGGTAGAGTGTTCAAACCTTGGGGTTCAATCATGGTTACACATTCAGTTTGTTGGAATAAGTACTGAAATCTTGCTTTCTAAGATATGCGCAGCAGTGCATTCAGTATGTTTTCTCCTATCAAGTAGATACATAGGAGAAAACATAATGCATGCTCAAAGATATATTTATTTTCACATGGAAATTTTCAGTAACACTGAAACTTATGAATGAGTATATGAACATTGATGGTCATGGCATACAGTATCCAAAGCCATAAGCATAATCTGAAATGTGGAAGAAATTCTAACTAACGTGTTGTTCACATACATGCAGGCGCAACAACTTCTCAGTCATTTTCGTAATCAGCGTGAAGGAGCTACAGGGAAGGGAAAATCATGAAGATAGACAATTTTGGTTATTTTATAGCCTTTTTATTTCTTGCCTTAATAACTCCTTCTGCTAGTGAGGACTTTAAGACTCCTTTCATTACTTTTTTTTTTATTCTTTTTAATTCTATCAATTGTGCCATTGTTAAGCCTTTTTTTTTTTTTTTTTTTCTGCTTCTATAGGCTATTTATTTCCCCCTTTTATTTTGTTGGCTTTAGTGGCTTCGTTTCTTTCTAGTGGAGAGGTCTGTTTTTAGGAGGCAAGCTAATTCTGAAGCTTTAGCTTGCCAAGATGTAAACTTAAAACGCTGTTTTGTTGGAGTCATAACTCATAAGTCATAACTGATGTGGGTCCCTAGTCACTGTTGTACATATTTGTACATATGGTATAGAATCTTGTTACCCTACCATAAATTATTGTACCTTATTCTGCTAGTTTAGCATTTAGTTTGATTACTATTTATTCAACACTGTATCAATCCATGCTTTCACTTCGACTTGTATATATTATATATCAATGCTTAGCATGTGGATTATTGACCTCTGCATAATAATAATAATAAAAACTTTCAGAGTTATGCAAAGTCGATTACAGTCTGAGAGTTTCGAGTATTATCCAAGTTGTTGGCTGGTTTCAGGTTCAGGCCATGCTTGGTTTGTTTGTTAAACAGATAAAGCTTAAGCTAGATTTAAGCACATCTAGACAATGAGTTAGCCATGGCTTGTGGTTAGATATACTAGTTGTTGCTATTGATATGGTTCTTATTTTGCATTTAGATGACAAAAGCCAACGGGAGTCTCAGGTACTCTTGTGGATCTTGGGGTTTTTTTTTTTTTTTTATTTCTCTTTTTTAATAGTTTAGGCTTGAGCTCATGAATAACTATTATTGCTTATGATTTCTAAGCCTATTTATATTTTCTTTATAAACACAGTGCTTTATATCAAGTGCGGTGAAGAGAATATAGTGAAACATTGCTGGATTTAGTCCACATTGGATTCTGTGTGATTGTTTAGTGCCGACAGTTGCAATGTGTATATTCGAGAATCATTCTGAAAAATAAAACTGATAATTGAGAAACTCTTGTTCTTGGGGGAGGTTGCGTTACCATTTTGATGAAATGGGTCAGGTCAGGGACAATGATAAACAGAAGCAATTCATTATTATTTCCAAATTTATGGGGCTATTTGCCATGTAAATTTGGGTGTGAAAACTAGCTGTCTTTGAGATCTTCTACATTAACCCAATAACATTCTGCCTATGGACATGACCTAAAAACAAGATTGGGACTAACAATACTCAATAGGTCATGTCTTTAGTCAAAGAAGAGAAAACAAAAACAAAATTGACACTAACAATACTCAATAGGGGCCGTTCTTTGTGGCCTACTAGTACATGTCTCACGTGCTAATTAGGTCAAAAAAGCGTACAAATTTTGCCCCCAAGAGCTGAAAAGCAATTCAATGAATTCATGTGTTGTATTAGTTCGTTATTAGAGTTAGAAGTTGGTTTCTAACTCTAATATTCGTCACGAACGGAGGGGGAAAAAAATGTAATGGTTAATCGCATTGTACTAAATGTACTCTAATGTAAAATTTTAGTCAAAATTTAATTGCCACCGTGAAAGAAAGAAATGAAAAAGAAAAAGCCATATTCATTACGTGTCATACTTTGCTTTGACGTACCTTGCCCAAAGTATGAGCAAATCTTAACCTTATTACCTTAATAATGGTTCCGGAATATATTCCATATATTTCCACTTTAAAAATCTTCAAGAAAATCTCATTTCAAAACAAGACGAAGATATTAGTATTATGCTTTGCTTTTCCTTAAGAAAAGAGAAACATCACACGATTCCCAGACTTGGATCATCCAATTTGGATGGGAATTTACCTAAGTTATGGGCAATTGAAAATTACAAATTTACCCATTCAGTGCATCCTATGTACAAGTAAGCAGAGCTTTTGATGCCCAAAAGAACAACATCATGTCACGTTTTACAACGAGTGCTTTTATTGACATGCATAAATAGTTAAACTTTCACTTAGACAAGTTTTGATTACCAAAAAGAATCGAAATTATGTATCAGAATTTCATCTACTTCTCAACTACTTTCTTGAATATCCTTCTAGTATATCATAATTGAACCTAAAAAATTTTAATTTTAATTCCTTTATCTCTTAAAGCGAATCAGATAAAAAAAAAAAGGTTTCGATTTTTCTGCAGTCACTGCAGATAAGTTATCTGCAGTAAGCTCAATACGACATTGTTTTGGGACGAAAATCATAGTGTCTTTATAATTTTAATTTATTTCAGGGTTATTATAGTCTTTATAATTTTAATTTTCTAATCTTTTACTTTCAAAACAATGTCGTTTTCAAAATAAATGCAGATAACTTATTTGTATTAACTGCAGAAATATTTTTCTGGAATTTTTTTTGTAAAACCAATTGATGAGTTTTTTCGCGGTTTTTGCAGTCAGGTCCAAGAAGAAATAATTCATTAACTAGACAGTAGTTTGAGTACTTGTTGCCTCCTTAAAGAACCGGCTGTCTATGATCTGTATAATTGGGCAAACTCTTATTTGGAGTTAGAAATCCTGATTCCGTTAAGTACCATCACATAACTAAATTTGGGTCCACTGAAGCCCATTAAAGCATTAAGTTCTGTCATAAAAGCCTCTCTCTGTCTGTCTTTCTCTGAATCAAATTATAAGACACAATACCGTTTACTTTAGTTAAAATAATTAAGGAGATATTACTTTTCATGTTATCTTATAGAACATACAAAAAAAAAGTAAGTGAAATTTTTATAAAGAGAAGGGAAAAAATTTCAACTATTTTTTTTATACGTTGCACGAGAAAATTGTATTATAATTAATCCTACTATTTCCAGGTATCTGACTTTATATTGCATAAACGAGTAAATTGAATGTGTTCTGAAAGAAGATAATGACATTCAGCAGAGATACAATTAAGGAACACTGCCCATTTTATTATGGTCGGCAAAAAAATTTTACCAGACTCTCATGTCAACAGTAAATTTTGTCAAAATGTCACGTGTCATATTTTGTTATACTGTGTAACAAAATATGTTTGCATATAATTCGTTATACAGTGTAGCGAAATATGTTATGTCAGGCTACACAGTCAGCAAAAATGACATGTGTCAAGCAGGCAGAATCCAAGCATAATTCGTTACACAATGTAGCGAATTTCTGCCTGCTTGACACGTGTCATTTTTTCTGACTGTGCAGTTTGACATAACATACTTTGCTACACTGTGTAGCGAATTATATGCAAACATATTTTGCTAGACAATGTAGCGAAATATGTCGCGTGACATTTTGACAAAATTTACTGTTGGCGTGACTGGTAAATTTTTTTGACAAACATGACAAAATGGTCAGTCTTCCTACGATTAACGGGGTAAGAGAGCATAAGACAAAAAAATACGCCCTTCCAAGTTTTAGAAATTGTACTTAAAGTTCCATTACAGATACTGCTAGAAAATAGAAAGTAGTAAGTAAACACTAAAGCGAAATAACAACACGGTGACTGGTCCTCTTTCTGTTCTCACAAGTCATGACATTTATGAAATCCTGCTTCCCCTCTCAGAAATACCACAAACAACGCCTTCACTACTTCAATTATCACATCGATAGCCTAAACGGTATTTCTGTTATTTTGTTTTTTATGTTATATTTATTGTTGATTATTTACAATAATTTTGTCATTTATCATCATTTGTTGTTTTGATATTTATGCATTTGTTGTTTAATAATAAATTCAGTTATGTCATTTATTATTCTATAATTATATTAATTTTTAAAGTAATATATTGTTTATATTACGCAACAGGATATATTACTCGAGTAAAAATCTTTTTTTTTTTGTGTGGATATTCTCGAGTAAAAATCTTTGATTTTTATTTACCAAAAAAAAAAAATCTTTGATTTGTCGATTAAAAAATTTTGTTATTTTTTTATTGTAAGATTAAATATTGTGTCTGGCGCATTGTGTTGTGAATGATCTATTCACAAAGGTCCGATAGAAGAATTAGTGTTAGCGATGCAAAAAGTGCATGTATCACTGTCACACCGTATATGGATTGGAGAACTCAATAGAATTCTGACTTTGGGCAGAATCTTCATCGCATCATAACATATTTCGCCTCCAATTATTAAGCGTTTAATTAGTAGCCTCTTCTTATTAGTTATGTGATGCAAAACATGCTAATCACAATGTTATAAAGAGTTAAAAACTATGGCCATTTAATGGTCAAAATTTTGCTCAGTTCTCTAATTCCTATGCGCTGCAACATCTCCACTTCTTGTATCGTTAACACTTTCATTCACTGGGACTAAATGAGTAGACCATCAGCGGCGAGCGAGGAAAAAAATTTAGATAGTCCCAAAAAATTTAACATATTAAATTATCAAAATATTTATGATAATTACACAAATTTATCAGGAAAAAAAATTTATTATGAATTCTAGCATATTTATCTAAATTATTTACTAAATAATGTCACGTAACATTGAAATTTTTATTATTATATATAAAAACAAACATGTAAAAATGTACTAATCTTTCTGATAAACATTTCAAATATAAAAATTTATAATAGTAATAGGTCCATGCTGTAATTAGTCATACATCAAATGGATTCAAATTTCTTTGATGAAAGTGGAGACGAAATGAAATTGTTATGCTCTTTTTTAATTAGCTAAACCATATGGCTAATAATCATTTGTTAAAAATTTGCTCTCCAAAACTAACAAATTTTTGCTATGCATTAGGGAGGTTGATTGAGTTTCTTGTTGGATGGCGGCAGGGGTTGGTTTTGAGAAAAAAGAACAAGACTTAGGGCAATATGGAGGAAGGATATTTTGGTATGCTGGTTGGAAAAGAGAAAAAAAAGGGTGGGGGGTGGGTTGGGGAGGGGGGAGAGAGAATTGTGTAAAAGATGTGGGTATAAAAATAAAAAATAAAAATATGTTTAAAAAAGTAAAATGACAAATGAGTGGTTAAAAAAATGAGGGAAAATATAAAAATTAAAAGTTGAAGATAAAAATATTACAATTTTGTTATATTTATTTAGATAGTGCCAAATTATAATTTTAGACATGGCCAAATTATAATTAATCATATAATTATATATATTTATATATAATAAGTATAAAATTTTGAAACAAAGGTAGTGCCAAGGCACTACCAAGCAACAAGGTGGCTATGCCACTAGAGGTGGCAAAGTGGGCGCCCCGCCCTGTCCCACCCCGCTAAAAAATGAGTCCGCCCGCCCCGTCCCGTTTGGCGGGTTGGGTGAGTTGGCCTGCCAGCCCGAGCTTATTTTACACTGACCCGTCTCGGCCCGCCTATGTCCGCCATC